GAAAAGAGAAAAACAGGGAAAAGTAGAACATGGCAATCCGTGTTCCACAAAACACTAACTCGGATTTATTCACTATATCAATTATCACTTCTCGGTTAATTTAATCATCGTTCCAACTGACCTTTATCAGTCAGATGCGTTTTGATATTGATTATAATCCACCCTCGTCTACAGTGGCATTTGAAATGAATCTTCAAAATGTACAAGAATGTATTTTCAAATTTACTGTAAGGAGTTACGTTCATGACAACCCAGTCAACACAACTGCAACACAAATTAGGTTTTGGACAAAATGTGATACTGTCCAGATCATTTTCTTTTTCTTAACATAGGGTGGAAACATGAATAAATATATGCATTTGTACTAATGCAACTAAAGAAACTAGTGATTTTTGTGGTTATATTTAGGTTACTCAGACCAAGCCCAGTTTAAACCCCTCACTCATTGACCAAGAATCATTTTTTCGATCAGTGGTTGTTAGACATGCAGCTGGATGCTCGATGACATTGGCGCCTGATCAATAGCCCAACAATCAATGGCTTTCTTGTTCCAAAATCTAGTTTCCAACATGGAAAAAAGAGGTGTCGTAAACTACAGTGAGCTGTCAACATTATTGGAGTTATAATTAATATGTAGTGCTAAACAGCGTTGTCTGCACTGTGGATTAGCGTGACCATATCGATTGTATCCTTTTCCACTTACAGCTCTATATTTTTTACTTTACATTCAAAATCTTAAGACACACTTGTCTCACTTGAATAGAACTTTTAACAGTCAAATGATAAACCCACACTGCTAGCTTTCAAGCTAACGCGGAAGAGCGGCGCAGGGTACCGACAACGTCCGTGTAGACCACTGGATTGATCGACATTTCTGCCGACCGCAAAATGTGGCTGAAACATTGCCGTCTGGAATCAAGGGCTTAGCACTTTGTGGACGCTACCAGTCAATAAAATAAAAGAGTGAATCTGCTCTGAGTGTTCTGCTTGTCAAGTGACAGCCACTTGTGTTTATTTCCCTGCGAGCTGCTAAAGAAAAGAAATAATTTTAATAATATGCCTCAGATTTAAAAAATACATCATGTCGCTGTTTTGAAACCGTTCCGTTTTTTTCACTGCAACGTATTCTTGTCTTTACCACCTTCAGATTTCAGGCTGAATATATTTGATGCCAAAGATGTTAGTTGGGCACAATGAAAGTGCTAAAGCATGTTTGTGCCTCAGAGCTGCAGAAGCTGATGAACACTGGAGATAATTTGAGTTGGTACGGGATTCACAGCTCATTGAAAAGTCTCACACAGGTTACATTCCCAGCAGGGAAAAGGTGAATAGCACACAAGAAGTGAAGCGAAAGAGAATAATTGACAACCCGAGAGCCAGAAGGACCAGTAATTAGACTAGACATTAATCAAGTTCAGCAGAGCAGAGTCGCATGGATGCACCGCCTCCAGCAAGCCGCCTACATCATCACCACGCCCAATAATCAGAGTGTTATCTCTGGTCTGCTGTTTACTGTCGAAAACAAGATATCCTACCATACATCCCGTGCTAAATTTATACACAAGAATTGTGGAAACGGTGTATCTCAGCAGGGGGACTACATCAAGATTGTCAAAGCAGTCAGCTGATGCAGACAAGCAAAAAGTGTCAAGCAGGAGCATCGGACGAATTGTGGAAACGGTGTATCTCAGCAGGGGGACTACATCAAGATTGTCAAAGCAGTCAGCTGATGCAGACAAGCAAAAAGTGTCGAGCAGGAGCATCGGACGATTAGTTACTGTGCAGAAATAAAGACGGATGTAATACCTAAATGTTTAGAATTTGATGAACCTATTAATTGAAGACAAAAGGCTATTAGATATTAGACACAACCTTCCCGCCATCACCAGAGAACCAGACACTGTCGTTTCTTTTCCCGAGTCTAGACTCATTTGGCAGTGTGGTGTACATTCTACCTTAACTGACACTCCTATCATTTTCCTCATTTCCTTTCCAGCTCTCTCACTCTCTCCCCCGCTTCCCTCAACGCTGAGCAATGAGAGCAAAGGAGACATGTTTGCATGTGCGTGACAAGCTTGTTCTTCCCTTTGTTTCCTAATACCTATTTTTATCCGTTTGTGCGTTCTTTTTAGCACTGCTGTGACAATCCTGCAGTATTTACTGAAAGTGTTCGGTAATTGACCTTGACTTGAAAACATCAGGGATCCTTTTAGTTATGGCTTACAGGACGATGTAAATGACAATGAATCATGTAAATAAACTAGAGATCGTTTCACCTGATCATTTGAATTTATTGACAATGCAAAAAGCTGAAAAATTGTTGTCTATATGCAGCAACTAAAGCAACTTTAAATTAAATTTGTTATCAAAAACTTAAAGAAAGTGAAATCCTACTGAGCCATTTTATTGCCCAATACATTTGACACGGCGCAAGTGTCTTATTTATATCGCTGCAAATATTTGGCTATCTAGTCGCTAAAAAACACGTGTGCACCAGCTCGGCCGCTTGTCTGTCTGCCATGTGGCGCTGGGCAGGACGTGCACATCGGGTCAGTCACATCCTCACAGCTGAAAAAATAGCTGCCAGCTGTGTCTGGAAATAATCCTGATAAGAGAGAAATCAAAACAGCAAAACTGTAGACCAGACACATAAAACAATGAGCTGAAAGACGGGGAATTGCGCCGCAGAACTGTGATGAACCGCAGAGTCATTGTCTTTCTCTTTGGGTTTGTCCCCACTAGTGCCTCCCCGCTGGAAGGCTTTTGATCCATTGTTTGTAGAACTCGAAAAACGCTCCACCTTTTAGGTCCCACTTCTAATCCATCCCGGGGCAGTTGTTGAATGCCCTTTTTTCTCTCCCCACATGTCCTTTCTTGTACAGGCGGGATTTCAAATATGCATATACACATATTTGTATGTGGGTGATTTGGTGTGCATTCTATTCAACAGGTGCCATGAATGCCATTTAAATTACAGTCGCTTGCTACAGTAAATCCATTCATGATCCGCGTCGCTATAAAAAAATAAGACTTGAAAAAAGATTTGAAAACTTCTGTTGGACGGAGGCTCAGCTCGGCCTCCTCTGTCTAGGAGAAATCAATCACTCACTCTGGAGGAACACCAGCTGGCATTTCAACCCATTGTGCCATTTGGACGAGCGTGGAGATTGACCACGCTTTTCCTCGATGCCGTCTTTCAATCTTCAAATGAATTCACCGTGTTTGCAGGAGTTATCTGTTCCAAGGGAAACAAACAAACCATGGCTGAGATGAGCCAAAGCCACTACCGTCTGTTTATTCATCGCTGGATGCTTTACACTGATTGGGATGAGGTTTGGCAGTGTAGTTGGATCTCAAAATGAAAAGGACAGAATAGTTAAGTGCTTACAAGAGTTTAACTATGGTAATGGAGATTTAAATGGCTAGGGTGGCTCTTGTGCCAGTATAAAGGTATTAAAAAGGAAGCTTTCTTGTGCTGTTGCCAAAAAAACACAGGACAAAGATCAACACATCACGAGAGTGTTCATCCTACTGCCTGTATGCGGTTTCATCACTTTCCTGTGATCTGAACAATTCTTCCTGCATTGGGCATTTAATGCAGGACTAAACTCGATGTGTAGTAATTGGTGGGAAAGAAGATAGATTACCATTGAAAGAGAGTGAATGTAATTTGTTACTTGCCCCCCTGAAAAAGCTTTAAATCCTTTTTTTCTACCGAAACTTAAAGGAAGAGTTGGAAGGATTAAAGTAGCATTTATGGGCAAAAATTCAAAACACAATATTCATAACCAGCCTTAAGGAGCCTAAAAGGCTTGATGCGCCCACAAGCATTTCAGCATCCACAGCTCGTTTTATCTATTGGTTTAATTACAATTTTTTTTTAAAAACAAAGTTGTTCTTTCAGGTAATTCAAGTAATATTTGGTGTCAATCCGCACCAGTCGGAAAGCGTTCTTTAATTCAATAGTTGTATCAAGCGCCATCATTTTACTTGAGTAAAATGTATTAAAGGTAATTAATTACTTTTCTTATATATATAATTCCAGCCCTCTAGCCATGACTATTTTTATTGGATGCGTTTATTGGAGATTGTGAGAAGGAGGCCAATCCCATCAATTAATAGGCGACCACCCTGCACCGTTCAGAGGGGCCCTGTTGATGGGTTGAGTGGAAACTGTACACCTCTCCCGCTGAGGATAATGTCTTTCTGTTGTGAAAGCCACTGAGAAATTACTTTATCTTTTTTTTTTTCCTTTCTCTCAGGGAGGTGAAGCCGGTTGCAGCTCACTGGGGAGCGTTGCACTACGCGAGCCCCTTTCACAGCGCGAGCAAAAGCCCAGAGCAAAATGAGAGAGAAGCACATACACGGAGTGCTTTTATTGATCACCAGCGATGTGTGCTGTTGCGTGAGATACGACGTAATTCCATCTCACTCTGTTAAAAACAGCTGCGTTCGGTCCTCACAGCCAGTGTGCACAGCTGATGAGGGAAGTCTGTTGCTAGGACACCAAGTCCCATTGAATGAATGATGTGAAATAAATTCCTTTTGAGGGGCTACTTCCTGCAGTAGTTTCATTTTTTTATTTATTTTTTCTCCGTCTGTTGGTTCAACACAGAAACACTTTCTTACATATTAATATTTCATATATTGCATAACAAGAAAACATGAAACAGATGTATATCAAGGTTACTAGACGGGGGTAATTTGTGTCTCGGGCCTAAAACACTACATCATTAACATAGTAATTGTTACATGATGGGAGACTACACGACTTTGAAAGGGCAGTATCTTTTGCAATGACTGGTGAAAGATGTACATTCGTCTGTTGGATAGAGGATACGTGGTGCTCGCCAGTTTGTGTCTTTTAGAGCTGTGCGTTTACAGATGGCGAAGCAATCGTCGGACTACAGCACATTCACACACAGCTGGGAAGTCGCGTTTCCACACAAAACAACACGTGTTATTTCTGTTATCAAGCTTTGCACTGTCCTCCCCTTTAGGAGTACACCATCGATGTCTTCTTCCGGCAGAGTTGGAGGGACGAGAGGCTGAAGTTTGACGGACCCATGGAGGTTTTACCCCTCAACAACCTCTTGGCTAGTAAGATCTGGACTCCCGATACATTTTTCCACAACGGAAAGAAATCGGTGGCCCATAACATGACGACTCCCAACAAACTGCTGCGGCTGGTCGACAACGGAACGCTTCTCTACACGATGAGGTGAGACGCTTTTGAAATCACTGCTCCCTTTAGAACACGATGGAGACTTTCTACAGCCGTGCCAGTAGTCATGGTTTGAGCTGAATGCTACAGTTAGCACCCCAACCTGCACCGGGTGAAAATGCCAACATGCTTTTGATCTGCAGGTGTAATTTTGGTCTAGTGTGTGTGTGTGTGTGTGTGTGTGTGTGTGTGTGTGTGTGTGTGTGTGTGTGTGTGTGTGTGTGTGTGTGTGTGTGTGTGTGTGTGTGTGTGTGTTATCATGCTACCAGTACCATTGAGCACTAAACACAAAGCACAGTTGTGGTGGGAAGGGTCTCTTGCTGGTGACTGAAAGCCATCAGCTCAACTCTAAAACTGCAAAGTTAAAAGCTACATGAAAGACTGCAACAGAATCATTCAACCATTGCAAACAGACGTACGTCTGGTGAGTTGTTAACTTTATAATAAAAATATAATAATGCTTGTATTGGCCTGATTTTGTACTGAAATGAATTTGCTTGAGCAAGCAGGGTTACGGTTTACAGAAAGGCAACGCGTTAAAGACAGATGGGCCCGCCTTCATCTGAAGTCAGCTGGGATTGGCTCTGTAAATGTGGGAATGATTTCGGTCACCTCCATACAGTGAGGCATACAGATTATTATTATGATTAACTGCCTTCTGATCTCATCTGACTAGCGTAGTAAGTATTGAGGGTGACATGAATATCTGGACCAAACTTTAATGGAACTTCATCTGATAGATGTTAACCACATTTCACTTAATCACACAAGAAGTCCAGGGATTTAAACTTAAGATGTGTGCAGCCAGTCTTATGTGCCACATATGTTTCCCATGCAGACAACTCAGTGAATAATTACTTGATCAAAGAAGTAGAATGTGCTACCAAGACAGTCACAGTCTGTGAGCAACACTATCTGCACGACTGGACAACGTGATCTCCAAAAACTGTTCGTAAAAATGTATACGAAATATTTGACATAGAAATTCGTAACAATACATACTAACTGGCGGTGGTTAACCACGCCCCTTGAGTGAACGTCCCTCCGCCATGTTGGATTCTTGAGTGAACGTCTCTCCGCCATGTTGTATTTTTTGAGGGGGTTAGGGTTAGTATTGTATTCTTACAATTTAACATTGATTTCTCGTTAAAAATGCGATCATAACACGTTTATTCTACATCGTTAGACTTCACAAAGTGTGTTTACGGGGTGCAGGTCCCCATTCACTTTGAATAGGGTGACGTCATCAGTTGCAGTCCGTATTTAGTATGTGTCACTACGAATTTGTATCTTCAAGATTTTCGTATAGATTTTTACGAACAGGTTTTGGAGATCAGGCTGGACTGGAGCAGTGATTCATTGCTTTTCTACCCATCTGATAATTAATCATTTTAACTTGAATTAAATACTTTTTAGATGCACGGCAAACAAGGTCAGTATTTTAAACCGTGGAAATGAAATAATGAAAAGGAATAATTGTGTGTCACAAAAGAATAGTTTGGTGATGTGTTAGCAGTTCTGCCAAAGGCCAAGAACGTAACATTACAAGTACTGTTGTGGTTGTATTACCAAGTACGTGTTTGGTGAGTGAAAGTGTAATAAACCACTATGAGACTTAAGAAAAAAGTTCATTTTCATGTTCAGTTTACTGGCCATGACATATCAAGGTTAAAGCGATATTTCTATCCAATTTCAAGAATCCATTAAAAATGTCAGTTCTAGAGTGGCTTTCGTTAGTGTTGCATTGGGATTTATTTCGACCCCGTGGTTTATTAATGGCATCAAAATCCACAAATTATTCTTTTTACCTTTTCAACTGACACATTGAAAAATAAAAAAAACGTTAATAAGTACTTGAAAGAAAGGCCTGCACTTATCATAATAGAGCATTGGCTGATTATTTGAGGGGGCTTTACTCCAAATTTATCTTCATTGTTAGAGGCATTGAGTACCACTCCAAAAGGAGACTGATAACTGAAATTTGTCTCAGCATCCTTCTCAGGTATTAGGTTTTAGAATATAAATCCATCCATTTTTATAGGACGTTTAGTCAGATGTGCATCACCATGGCTCCTTGTGTTGGTTTACACTGCGCCCAAAACAACCGCTTGAATCCATTTAATGAGCACGTCTGCAGCCTCCGAACTGACACATTCTGTGAGGGCCTCCGCTCTGCAGGATTACGTCATTATTTTTGGATTGAGAGAGCTGGTATTGTCGTTCAGTGCTGCTTTAGTCTTGTGTTTTGTGTGCAAGAACTAATTTCTCACTCAGTTCAGCTCCAACTGCTTACTGAAGCAATTATGTTCCAGTTTTAGACAATAAATAATAATAAATATACTCACTTTAAAAAGATAGTGCTGTATATTTTTGGTTTAAACTTTTTGCCCAGATTTGTTCTTAAATCTCCAGATTGGACTAAACAGCTCATGAACCACCAGACACAAATCATCATTTGGTGCAATACTTACAATACTTTTCCCGCAAAACGGAGGCGCGCTTCCTGCGACAGGCGGTTTGCGCGTTCAGCTCAGTGCGGCTTGTTTGTACAAACTTCGCCTTGCTTTTACGTGTACATTGCGAAACAAATGTGTTTGTTGCACAGGGGGATGGCAATTATGACTGAAGTATGTAAGTAACTGTTGGACAGATGACATTCATGTCCGCCTGAGGATGAGTTGCAGGGATTTACTCATTACTTTAGATGTTAGATCGGAATATTCTTTCTCAATTCTTAGGTTTATGACCATATCAAACAATACTCACCAGTCTCAGTAGGACTGTGTGTTTAGAGCTAATTTGCAAAGGTTAGCATGACAATGGATGTTGCTAAGATGTTGAACATCCAAATCATATTTATTAAACAGTGCCATTATGAGCAGGTCAGCACGCTGCCGTTAGCCTCTAACTCAAAGCACTGACGCGCTTCAGAAGCCCGCTAGCTTGGCTTTAGACCTCGTTTTGTTCCCTTTATACTTCATGATTCCACAAACACAGCCTGCTTTGTTGTATTTGATCAAAGTCATTTCATGTTGTTCTGCGTTTCTTACATTTTGTTTTTCTCTTTTTTTTCCTTTTTTTTTTAAAACATCAGTACAGCCGAGAGGAATGAGATGAATTTCATCACTTAGTGGCTGGGTTAAGTGCTCTATGATATGCGGCGGTGCGTTGCTCCAGTTTGATTTATGCTGTATTGCGTCAATTTGGGTAGTTACTGAGCCACTTATCAGTAATGAGGCAGCACCACAGAGCAGTCAAGAGGGTGTAACAAGGGTCACAAGGTTGTTGCAAGTGCAAAACAAGGAGCTAATTGGAAACCGTAAGTTTGACTGAAGATGTGGTTTGTGACTTCACTAGCGTTAATGCTTGGGCTGCAATACAGTCCAAACTGTTTACAATGGTGAGTGTACATTGCTTCTTTCATGACGTCTACGAGTCTACATGTGAAATCTGTTAACACGTTAAAAGTACAATAACTAATACTGGGATGGCACTGTAGAAGCGACATGTTTTACAAATGAGAATTACATATACTACAACATTTACTTCAGATATTAGATATATACTTAAGAAATCACATTTTTTCGCTCCACCTACGTGCACTCCAGTCCACTGCAGGATGGCTCCGCTGTTTGGTTTGAACTCAGCAAATGTAATCCCCCATGTTGATTAAACATGTATGAGAGTGCATTGTGTGGCTCTGCTGATCTGACAAAATGAAACAAATAAACTTTGGTTCTCTCTGGAGATTTTTGTCTTTGTCGTCAGTCTACGCTGACAAAGTGTCTACCGGAGGGAGGAGAGAGAGCAATGTGTGTTCTTCCTCCGGCACACCTCACCAAATAAACACCACACCAAAATATTTGGACTGGTACTGATATATATATATATATATATATATATATATATATATATATATATATAGTCTTGTGTTTTGTGTGCAAGAACTAATTTCTCACTCAGTTCAGCTCCAACTGCTTACTGAAGCAATTATGTTCCAGTTTTAGACAATAAATAATAATAAATATACTCACTTTAAAAAGATAGTGCTGTATATTTTTGGTTTAAACTTTTTGCCCAGATTTGTTCTTAAATCTCCAGATTGGACTAAACAGCTCATGAACCACCAGACGCAAATCATCATTTGGTGCAATACTTACAATACTTTTCCCGCAAAACGGAGGCTTGCTATATATATATATATATATATATATATTTATATATATATATATATATATATATATATATACAGACACACGTATAATATTGTATTCAACATTACTATTACAATAATATATGTAAATTTGTTACTGTTCTATGACATTATGCGGTGTATTTATTCACACTAACACAATATCTAATTAAATCATTACACAATCATGTATAAATCATTCCGTTGTAGGCCATGATACTATCTCACACTATCTACATTGCTTGTTAATAATCACGCCACAACAGTATGACACATTGGTTCATATACATACTGATTGTGAGTACTTTGTTTACTGCTCTTGCAATCTTGAGTTAAATTGCTCTTATACATTTTCTATTTGCATTGGTATTCAAAGAACAATCCAGTTATTACTGTAAATATATATTTAGCAATTTGTACTTTTATCTTTCTGCTGTCCTTTTTTCCTTTTTGCTGCTTCGGCACCTGCTTTTGAGGATGAATAACAGCTAATCTTATTTCATCAGTAGAATAAATACAACATAATGTGGATTTAAAACAGCTTGAGTACTCGGTTATTAAACCAGTTACTGTGACATGTAAAATTCAATCATTCAATTATCGTGTATAGGACATTCACATAACGTGTGACTGTAGAATTGTGGTCTAGGAAAATGCCCGGCTTTGTTTCTGGTGTGTTTGTAACTCAACCCGCAGCAGCCTGACCGGTGGAGTGTTGTCTCTCCCGCTCAGGTTGACCATTCACGCCGAGTGCCCCATGCACCTGGAGGATTTCCCGATGGATGCACACGCCTGTCCTTTGAAATTCGGAAGTTGTAAGTCAGTTCAGTTGGTCACAACAAAACAGACTTTAATGGGACAGACAACGCACAGCGGGAGGGTGGGCATTGTTCTCTACAGGCCTTTCCTTTCCTGGAAACACTTGAGGGGGGGGGGGGGGGGGACAGCCACCGGCATGAAGTGAAAGTTTCCTTCCGTCAATTCCTACCAAAGAGTCTGTGTGAGTGCATGTAGCCGGTAGGGTTCACCATGCTCATCATCTTAGAGTCACATGCTACCATTTGCTAATCAGTAGCACTAAACACAGCTGGGGCTGATGTGAATGTCATTATTTTTGTTTTTTTGCCATTTTGTGCCAATTGCTGTTCTCTCTGTTGGCCAGATGCTTACACCAATAACGAGGTGATCTACCTGTGGAGCCATGGAGACGAAAACTCGGTTTCTGTTGCGGAAGATGGCTCCAGGCTGAACCAGTATGACTTACTGGGACATGTTATTGGCAAAGAAACCATCAGTTCCAGCACAGGTACATGATATACCCTCCTCAGCTCAGAGAGCAGTGTACAAGGTTTGCGAAGTTGAATCCAATTTGGTTCGTTTGAACGGGAAGAAGGTTTGGTCCAGAACCAAACAGCACACCGCATAACGCACTGGAAACCCAAGCAAACCTTATTCCATCTAGAGGGAGCAAAGAGCAAGCAGTGAAGCAAATAAAAACTATTATTGCTCTTACTGCATTATGTATGTAGTAAATTAAATTGCCTTCCCTGTTTCCGTACACTGGCAATCTTTTGTTTGTTTTCAAAAAGAAACCGTGTGCACTTTTCTCCTGTTTCTGTCATTTCGTATTCAGCTTAAATTATTCCGCTCTGGCAAGAAAATGTCTCGGTTTTCGGGGAAATTGTTCAGCATATTTACAAAGATAATTTGAGGAGCTGTGCCGGGGGGGCTGCAGCCAAAAATCAACCTCGGTAGGCATTTTGATCCAACAGGAAAACATAAATATAACATTTCTAACATCAACCTCCGGCTTGAGGGAACAGTGCAAGAAGCTTGATGAAGTGCTACAATACTGATTACTGCAAAGCCATAGAAAGGTCGCTTCTTAGGGGTTGTTGGTAATTACCAATTGAGCAACACTGGCTTTCCGTTCTGAGAGATTTAACCTCTGCAGTGAAGCGGTTTGCTCATGCAGTTCTCAAGAGGGGAGCCATCGAGTCCCACAGATATATCGTGTTCGGAGTCTAAACCATCATGGAGCCGATTTGTCGGGTGGCTCTCAGACCGTTTCCCGCGGGAGGCAGAACGGCTGACTAAAGTTGTAGAGATAAAAGCCCTTGTGTCGCCCTGCGGAGGACACTCTCTGAGCTCATCTTGATTTTAGTGCTGCTCGGTAGTTTAACTTTAAGTCCTGAAAACTGCAGAGGAAAAACTAGTCCGAACTACAAACGCAAAAACTGGAAGTGGACTAAACATGATTTGTTTTTTCATAAACTGGTGCAGCTTGCAGATGTGGGGGGGGGGGTTCTTTAAACCTAATGGACTGCAGTGAGCCAAGGGAGGGGGAGGATTTGAGCCAGTTCGGCTCTGGTTAGAGTCTGCTCGAAAAAGACCCCTCAGGGAACAATGTTTTTCCTCGTATCTTCGCAACACAGATCACAGACATGGCAATGAGAGCTGGTGCTCGGGGGAACATTTGCTGCCGTCAGTGACCAAATCTGAGCTGAAGGAAATGTTGAATACCAAGGGTTAGAATGACACAGGCCACCGATCGTCACATCTACAACTGTGGGAAAATGTAAATGTATCGAAAGCAGCACTCCACTGAAAATGTCCGGTGTAATTGGACGTGGCATTGTTTCCCTATGCGGACAGCGCAAGCACTGCTTTTCCACGACCTCGTAATCCTTTCACAGAAAGGACAATTGAAGCGTCAAATCTGAACCAGAAACACTCTAACCGGGGATGTCTTCTGTCATTTCATTTCTTATTCCACCCGTCCAAATTCCACCTTTCATGCTTGTCTGTTCGGATCACAAGTCAAACTGAGGCTAGGTCGGTCATGTGACCAACATGTACATTACATCTATTGGAATACTGGAGCAGCATTTTCTACGTCCCTTCTATGGTTCACTTGCTCCTCTAGGAGACTTTAGAGAATACTATGAGCTACTTTAATGATGTAAATGTTCCACCTTGAATATTTCAGCTTTTGCATCTTCAAACTGTGCAAAGCTGTATTAATAATTATAAAACTGTGTCTCTCTCCGTCTCTTTCTATGTTTCTCTCCTCCCCCTCAGGAGAATATGTAGTGATGACAACATATTTCCATTTGAAAAGGAAAATTGGCTATTTTGTGATTCAAACCTACCTCCCGTGCATCATGACTGTCATACTGTCTCAGGTCTCCTTCTGGCTAAACAGAGAATCTGTTCCCGCTCGCACTGTATTTGGTAAGTGCCATTTTGTGTTTGTGATATAAAACATGCACTTAATGATTGATTGGACAGGTCAGATCATTCTGCGGCGCTTTTAAAATCATGCAGCAAAGTACTAAATGTGCAGAGCCGCATTTATTCACATCAGATGATTCAGCAAACAATTTGAGGAAAAGGTTTCTGCTCAAAAAGTTACTACTAACAAAAGAAACCAGGCTGGGTGTGTTAAACCTCCTCTTAAGTTACCATAAACCACAATCACACGTTTGCTGCAATGGGAAAAAAAAGCTGTTTAAAGAAAATGTCACAGAATCAAATCCTCACCATTAGAAAATGCATTTTAGTATCTAATATTGCGCAAATAAAGTACTCTGCTCCATATGTGACACAGCATTTTGTACTGTTATCAATGTATGCAATCTGTCCATGCAGCACCATTCACGATGACACCATTGTGTCTGCTTAGATTTGGGGCTATACAAAATAAAATGAATTGGATTGAATTAGATCACCCTATGCTTAAAGAGGAGATGTAATTTGCTCTTACTGTCCCCGCCTCCCTTGACCTGTGCTTGTTGAATAATCAGCATTGTGATCTGGAACTTTAACACATGTGCATGGAGTAGCACACGCTGTACACCGTAGGTGGTAAATGGGATTGCAAAGCGGGGGGGGGCATCGTCTTCATCGTGTTAGCCAGGAGGGAGAAGCCCATTACAGCTGCCTACCTGTCCCACTGGGAATTTCTGAGTAACCAAAAGGTCCTTCAGTTGTCCACAAACGCACGCCTACACAAACGGTTTACCTTTACCTCAAACGGAGGAGTTTGAGGAGCCGCAAGTGTCACTTAGTCGGTGGAATGATTGAGACTTTATCCGTGAGGGACACGGTTCCCTGCAGTGCTCACATCTGTTTTTCTTGTGCGCACAGTCGCATTGAGTAATCAAGTTATCATGTCTCACAGATTCAATGGACTTTTACCATAATTTATCTTACCAGAAAATAATGTCCAACAGAAAGTGTATCAACATTTCTTTCTTTTAGTGCTTTAAAAATGTCAAAGATATGCAAAATGCAGTAGCCGACAGTAGATCAATCTCTGTCCTTGATGAAAGTGAATAGTTACCCATCAATCCTTTTAGTCCGGAATTAGAATTTCTCACCTATGACTCAGTGAAATTGGTTGACCTCCCTGTTCTGCAACACAATATTCCTTTCTAGAGCCTATTGTGTATCTATTTTTCCATCAGATGAGATAGGCTGGAACAGATGAGGCGATTGCTTTTATGTGGTTGGGTGGGCAGCCATTGTCCGACCCATATTTCATCCCCTGCAGCACAGAATGTAAAGGCCAGGATGTGAAAGGATATGTGTAGATTGGGTCCGTCTTCCTTTTCAAGTTTGTTTTTTATAGACCTTTGCACTTAGTTATGCATTTGACACTTTATAAATCATCTATGTTGTTTGCTGGAAAAAAGTAATTCAGATGATTAAGCTAAATCAGATGTCCAAAGTTGCTCTTACATGGAATTCTGGTTCCTAAAATATTCCCCCACCCCACAACAAGATTTGACCTGGGTTGTAGATTTAAACTTTGATTTAAAGTGTTGAAAAAAAAAACAGAAGACATTTTCTGATGTTCTTGTTTTCATCCTCAGGGGTCACCACTGTCCTGACCATGACCACCCTGAGCATCAGTGCTAGAAACTCCCTCCCTAAGGTGGCATATGCCACTGCCATGGACTGGTTCATGGCAGTGTGCTACGCCTTTGTCTTCTCTGCCTTGATTGAGTTTGCCACAGTCAACTACTTCACCAAACGCAGCTGGGCATGGGATGGGAAAAAAGAGGGCATGGAGATAAGGGTGAGTGATTCTTATTTATATACTCTTTTCTTTTTTTTCCTCTTTTTTTTTTTTTTAAATTGATACGACACGGCCACACCTTTGCGCTGAATCAACATCAATAATCACAAACGCCTTGCCCGAAAATAACAAACGCAACAGTTTTTTCAGAGACGGGTTTACGTCCACCTGTTTCCTGCAGATGATTGCAATTGTTCCTCGTCTTTGGATCTGATAGCCTTGGTAAACATGCTCCAAGCTGCTCAACAGGTCCTTATTTACTCCAAGAGGAGCGACGAGAGGAAATTGCACTTTAAAAACCGAGAGAAAACTCCCTCCTTAAAGCAGCCTGTAGTCTTTTATAAAGAGCTTTTATTTATTCATCAACAGCCAAATGGAACAGGGACAGTGCGGCGGAACTGTGGGAGCAGAAACAGAAGTAAACTCCCAAAGACACTGGCCCTGATTTACGATGGCAGCGTACGTCTTATCCTTATAGTCAATGGAAGATGCCGCCCCAATTCCCTCTCAGAGATTGGGCGTTGTGTGCATCATCTAAAATGACCCACCCGAGGCTGATGCGTTTATTCATAAACTCTAATAAATCACAGCCAGTGATCGTGTCAACAGTCTGTGCAGTTTGCTTGTTGTTTATGAGGACGTTGAGTGACGGTGAGTTTTTTTTTTCCGGTGCTCTGTTCAATACAACGAGAGGTTTTGCAGGCGTCCCAACGAGATGCCGTTTACTGAAGCAATGATGCAGTTGCATGAATGAATCTAATTCGGGCGTAATAACCTCAGTGCTTGAAGTCAACATTATTTCTATGAGTTTTTTAAGTGGTCACATCAAAAGTGTAATATATTTCAGAACCTTGAGTTAGTATTAAAGCTGATACTGAGATGCAACAAAGGGAATTTAAGCACTTGGTCCCGTGCTGAATGTATGAAGTTCTCCATCAATTAAAGCTTCAAAAAGGCTCATTTGCACTTGTAATGAAAAGAGCAAATACATTATTTCCTATTTTGGTTTGGGCCGCATCAGGTGTTGGCAGCCCTGTGGTTTGATTGACAGTGCTGAGAGGTAGAATATGAAACGTAATTTTCTCCCATTAAAAATAGCCTAGACTATAAAATATATATATATTTAAAATAACTCTCATTGAATGGTTTGCCCAGATCTGTGTACATCTGAGTGTTTAGTGTATTGTAGGTATTTCATACATGAATGAAACTGCATATATAAATAGTGGCCATATAAAAGATAAAAAAGAAACATGAAACGTGAAATATGTCCTACAGTGAAAAATATTGAATGGAATACTTCTAACAGCCACACATACAACATACCTCCTCTACTGCGACAGACATTGCCACAAATCTATTTTCTGATACTAATGTACAGACAGCTTGACACAATCAGAACAGCCTCTCCAGTGTTTTTTATAGTTTGACATTTGGTCCTCGGAGTGATTGGCACAAACGCATATTGCTGCCATGGAACTTTTCAGTTGGGGAGAATAATTTGTTTCATTGCAGGGTTTTTTTTCCCCCCTTTTGATGCCTCGTCTAAATGGTAACAGCCTGGGCTGCGTTCTCGGGTGCTGTGCTGAGCATGCAGTTGTCATGATAGATAAAAAAAGAATGGGGTCACAGAGGGAGACGTGGCGCTCCCATCACACTCACCGCTAGAACGGGCTACTGGAAAGCAAAGCGATCCGACTACACTTGCCTTTTCCCCTTTTATAATATATCTATAATAAAAACTTGAACTTATAAGAGGATGCCAATCTATTAGGCTGATGTGTTTTTTCAGTGAGAGAAGTTTGAGATCCCAGTCATCGCCCTTTACAGGACCAAACGATGACTTCATCATCATCAGGCTCCGTCTCATTTGAAGACTGAAATGGCCGCAGAGTCAATGTGGACTAATTTACTTGCCTAGTCACAGTTTCTTTGACATTTTCTCTCTCTTTTGTCGCCCAATTCTCCGTATGACAAGCCAGCCACCCAATTAGAGCGCCCCTCGCCGGCCGAAGGTGGGCTTATTACCGAAATTAGCCTGTGGGGAGGTGGGTTGGATCGAACGCCCGCGTACTCTTGGTGACACATGATTGGACTCCGCTGTGTTGGCCGTTATTCGCTGGTTTCAGCAGCACGCGCAGGGGCACCGGCTCATGTGCAGCGGGCGTCGCTGCTGGAGCCAAGGAGAGATCGCGGTTAGACGTGTACAGTATGGCTCACGCCTGCAGCACAAACCACTGCAGATATTTTTCAACATTAGTGGTTTGGAAAATTGAAGGCACAGCCTGTCATCATCATCATCATCATCATTCCTGGCAGTCACATTCCAGCGCGACACTGAAGCTCATTTTTCCCCTCCAACAACAAGGGAAGTTTAACCAAACTTTTATGTGGTTAACACGCAGTGTGCTCGGGTGAAAGAAAAGACGAAAAAAAAAGGCCGCCATTTCTTGAGGCCGTTCTTGTTAATTGCCCTTTTGCACACTATTTCTGTCCGAGTTGGCAGTGTTGTGACGCTTGATTATTTGCCTCTTGGCCAGCTTCCTCCGACTGCCGTGACTTGGAATAACCTCTTTAATATAGAAATACAAGGTGGTCATATCTGACCACCGATCTTAAATATCAACACTAGGTTAGGTAACCTGTAACACACAACCTGAGAGATTAAACTCATGCAACTACAACCTAAATGACACACACAGGGACACGTTGTGGTCCCTAAAACACAGCGTGCATGCTCACTTAATACTTGAGGCAACCAATATGCCAAAACTTCATCGGCAATCTTAGACAAGGACAGACTGTGACAAGGTTCCGTTACATGCACACATGCACACACTGAGCTGCAGACAGCAGGACACAGCAAGACATCATAACCGCCACGATGCGCCACACTCATGAGGAAATTCTGATGCAACAATCTGTAGAAGTAACAAAGAGAAGGTCAATAGATGCATTGTGTTTGAGGTTGTATTTTTGCCTGCGGCCAGCCAAAATTGGTTTGAATAGTGCGTGAAAATCTTTGGCCGGAAGTAAATTATGTGGTGAATCACATTAGGTTCATAACACACACACACACACACGGCCCGCTGCCACATGTGGTTTCCCCAATAATTCGGCTGGCAACAGCTTGGCTAAATAGCGACAGAAAGTAAGTTTGCTGGGCTCGTTTGTCAGGTTTCTGTGCAAAGAGCATCCCTACTACCGAGGAGAGAAGAGTTTAGGGGGCTGTGATTAAGGTCTTAGGACACAATTCGGAAAAACGGCCAGACGCTCTTCCTGCTGACGTGACGCCCTGGCTGTGACAGACGAGGCTGGTGGAGGTGTTGAGCGTGGAGGAATCCATAACCTGGGAGAGCGTCAGGTTACCCAGGGGTCGCGTCGAGCGTCTGGTTACCCATTAGAGCAACTCTCACTCTCTCTCTGTACTAATTGACTTCAGATAGACCCCTTCAGGCAGCGTCTCACCATTCCTCTGCTTAATGCAATCAACCGTCTGCGAGCTTTGTTCGGTTCTCCAGCAGACTTATTGTTTCTGCAGAAGAGCTTGAAGGATTTTCCTCCTCCTGCTCACTTGAGGAGTAATCATCGATCGCACTGAGCGCTTGTCCTCCTCAATCCTGCTGCCTCCATCTCCTCGGACAGATATTCTGAAGCTCAACACATTTGTGATGTGCACCGCAATATTATTCCACAGATTTTTGCGCATCATTAGAGCCCTAGTGGTTTAGCTGCTGCACAGTGTGAAACGTACTGTAGCACGTCACGTGTAAAGCCATTTTTCGCCTCCATTTTTGAGGAATGGTGAATAATGAGGATAAAGACCAAACAAAACCGTTGGTGATGAGCTGTGTGTGAAAGAGATGCAGCGTGTAAGGGGATGGGGGAAAGAGGGGGGCGCTACTTGTTATGCTAATTTAAGAGATTGAGTCAAAAAGAAAGGAAAAGTAAAATGAAATGAAGCTAAAAAGTTAAAGCTGGGCTCAAAGTGAAAGTTAAAACAGGGAGCACAAACGCTCGGTTACGTGACACGTAGTGCTTCACTGGGGCCGAATGGTGCGAAGCGAAATTACCCAAGTCCAGGCTTACACGCTTCATGCCACACAGGACACTAAAACTGTGCCCGGTGATCAATCTCGGTGCCCGACTTGTTTCCTCACATCTACCTTGTGCTCTGCACTCTTTTAGTGCCGACAGATAACTGAAAGTAGCATCACCAGAGGATTCCGAGTGTATGAATTTAGCAAATAAAATTCTAAATTTCGATCCGGTGTTGTGAACAAAGCCGTTTCTCCAGCCAGCTGTCACACACAGCCTTCGTTGCGTTTGCTGTATTGCGAGCTGTACGAATGAGAGCAGGCAGGCCTCTTCAGGCCTCTTTAGTTTTCAGGCACTGTTATTTTGCTTCCTTTCCAATGCGTCTCCATGATGTTATTGTTAGCGGTATCAGACGGCCTTCAAACCTACTTCTGTAGTGAGGCAAAATATAGAGTGCTGCAGGTTTGACGTATTTTGTAGACCATCACACTAGATCCATTGACAAGATGGATAAATAGCAAAAAATAACCTCTGTAGCAAACATGCAGGCTCGATAATATTTACAAAAACGACGACACCTTTTATGATCGTTAAAGCGCCGACGCAACCGGCGAATGTAAAAAGCTTACATTAGACTATAAACAAAGTACACTACGGTCACATGACTTGCCGTCACCATCGCTAAGCTAAAGACGGACAATTTAAAGTCATTTAGCAGTACATGAAAGCGTCAAAATTCCCGAGAGGGGTATTTATGTTGTGGAACAAAATGTTGAAATCTCTTAAGCATTTCTGAACCACAGAACTTATATCATTCATCTAAAATAAAACACTTATTAAAAACATTGAATTCATGGGACTGAAGGTGCAAAAATGCCGACTCAGTTCTTAGTTTTAGAAGTCATTCCTGCAGCACAGTATTATTATTATTTCCACACTTTAATTTGGTCTGGAATTTTTTTCCCAAGCTTTTTCTGCAACCCGGATTTATATGATTTAAATCACCATACTAATAGCGTAACATGTTCAAAAGTACTTCTAGCTAGATACTGATGAATAGAGTATGTAAGTTGGGTAATTTTAATATAATTGGTAAACTTTTTTTCTTTTCTACTTTTCTTTTCAGGAACCGTTTCAGGCTAACATGGCCAGGATTAACGATATGGTTAGGCTTTTGTTTTGTTCTTGTGTGTGTCGTGTCTCGTGGTGTTGCTTCTATTTCCTCTTTATGAGTTCAAATGGAAGTATTGTTCAGTCTGGTGCGTCGCCCCTGACAACCTTTACCTTTACTGCCTTCTTCCTTTTCAGAGAAGAGAATCGTCGACGTTGTCCAAAAAGACAAACAACACCTTCAACATTGTTGGAACCACCTACGCCATCAACGAGGCTAAAGACCAAGGTTTAACGACCATTGCCAAGAGTGCCGCCGCAGCGGCGGCCAAACACCAATACCTCCATAAAATGGAAGACCCCTACACGGAGGCCAAGAAGTCCTACAACCGTGTCAGCAAAGTGGACAAGATCTCACGCATAATTTTCCCAGTTTTGTTCTTCATCTTCAACTTAGGCTACTGGGCCACGTATGTCAACAGAAAGCCCGCCATCATGAAGGCAAACAACTCAAACTGAATTTAACCAAATGCTAGGCTTGATCTGGAGGTAGACAGGTTTGCAGGAGGCCAAGTCCATCGCATCTCATTGTGTGCGGGTGCGTTTTGTGGGTCTGTTTTTTCTTAAGAGTTTGATATGTTGCACGTCTGTATAGATGGAAGGCACATTTTAACATGGAGTAGATTCTCATACAGTCGTGGACCTTGGAGGCAGCACATTTTCCCCCCAGATTGTTTTGGGGTAAATTTATTCCCCCCCCCCCCCCCCCCCCCCTCTCCCACTTAGCTCTAGCCCTTTTCCCTGTTGTGAGTAACCAAGTGTCCCTTTGCTGTATCTTGATGCCGGCCGTTTTGTAGAGTAGTCAAACTATGTTTTGACATGTTTGTGCTTTGCTTATAATAAGTTAAGAGCAAGCATGCATTTGACGTTTTCTTTGAAGCTCATTAGCAATGCCGAAGACTTTTTGACGCGTCCATTGAAGCTGACAACACGCATGCACGCAACCAGCAATGCACACCAGAAGAGCCATTCGGTTTTGGGCTTTACCATACATCTGTTAGCCGGGGGCAGCCTGTATCGTTCCATAGGAACATCATTAATAATAGTCAGCGACTGGCCTTCAGCTGCTGCTGAATCTCAACAGGCCCGATGGAGAATCATTTTGAATTGCTGGCACGTCGCGTGGGGGCTGCCTGTACATTTTCTAGTCCGGTGGCGCTTATTGTTTTTACCGGGCCGCGTACGCTCAATGACGGAGAAGCTGTGTGCCTTGGTAAATACACGCAAGGAGGAAGGCTTTTAGCCGCTCGCATTTCCAGAGCGGTGGTCTGTGTGTATACATTAAATGCACACATATACTAGTGTCCACAGGTTCCGCACTCTGCAGTATGTGGCTGCCCCCCCCCCACTTATCCCAACCCCCCACGGGCATGGGCACAGAGTGTAAAATTGCCCATTATAGTGGAAGGTTAACAGACCTCTGCCTGTGAAAAGATGACGCAAAAGAGATTAAAAGGATGCAGCGTAGTCCAGAATAATTATCATGTGCATTTGTGTTTTGGCTCGTGAAGTATCCATGAGCTAAGCAGTCATAACAAACTGCCACCATTACCTCAGACTGGAGTGGAATTCTGAATTTTTTATTTTGCGTTTTCCATGGAAATGCAAATAACATTAGCTTTTTTATACATTAGAATCATGATTTCTTTCGTAGGCAGGCACCCTGGTGCCTTTATTTCTTTGTTTTCTCAGCAGTGTTTGCTCCATTTTGATTTCTCTGCATTGTCATAAAATAATTAGTTTCATGTTGTACTTGATTGTGTAAAGTATATTGGTGTCAATTATTTGATTGTCTACATATGCTTTACCGTTTTTGTGTTTTGAGGTAGACAACCAAGTCCAATATGTCTCAATCATGCAGTATTTCTAAACAGATTATTGTCACTGGAGACTATCATACTACAAAATACTGTGAAACAAAATAACAAAAATTATGATAAATAATAATTGTTTTGAGAGCAAATTAATCAAAATGATTTATTTTTTTAAATAGCAGTTTGTCTGTAGTTCTGGCTGCTGTCTCCAACTTCGGTTTTCTGTTTGTTAAGATCTGTATTTGGTTTTGTATTGAATTTGGTATGCGTTTTACACAGGTTTGATGTCATTCTAAAGTAATTTCCGTTTCTGCTTGATGCATTTATGCATTGTCTTCATTATGAACTCTTTTATGACCACTTGCTACATCCAGTGGATTCAAACTGTACCTTCAGCGGTACAGTAAGCCTGGGAGAATGAGGGAACTGTGCTGTGGCCTCTTAAAAAGGTGTGTTAGTAACACAAAACATGTACAATGTATGCATCATAGTTTTATGCATGACAATCTGTACATGTGTATGTCTGCAACCTCCAATAATGAGGTTTGTCACACTGGAATAGGGCTAAGTATCAGTGATTCTCCCCAGTTAGTTGCCATGTACATACTCATAACATCAGCAACATCTGCGTAAACACCAAAAAGCCCAATTACTTGTGCATATTGTTAGGATGCTAATATTTTACAGCTTCTGAAAGTGTTGTTAGCCTTATTTGGTAACACGTCTCACTTACCGTAAATTAAAATACAAGGTGAGAAAAGGGGAAGACGGTTTGCAATCGACTATGTAAATACATGACCACTCAACTTTTTAGTTTCCGCCGCGGAAAAAGCATCAAGGCCACATTTCAAACCGGTAACTGCAGGCTCTTCAAAACCTGAATGATATAATTAGATGAATTTGTTAATCAATGATTGAATGTCGGTTGGCATCAGTCTCATTATCTCTAGTCCTGCAGTGATTTTTCAATATTTGACTTTGTAGTAAATTAAACACTGCACAGAACCTTGGAACCTTTAACTTAACCAAAATGCATGTCAAAAGTCATAGAGAGAACATTTTGTTCACGATCTAAAAACTCGCAGCACAAATGGAACAGAATGAACGTCTACTGGTAAACCATTTAAGTTCAAACACATACACAAACCCAAACAATGACAAGATAAATGACAACACTACAAACTTTTGATGAGATTCGTGAGGCGCTTATAACATTTTAATAGTCGCGATAAATCCCATTAAATTCATAATGACAAACCAGGTGAAAATGTCCCTTCTAAATAGCAATTATTTTGTACAACAATCAGGCGCCATGCTGCGGACACGGTGTGACTTCTGGAATTGAATCCACTGTTGCTGTGAGGACGACTGAGGGCCAAGTCTCGGTATAAGACTCAATTTTGATGATTTTGTCTCAAACAAATGGATTCCCGTCTCAAAACAAAACTGATAAGCATCTGCTGAGGGTGTTAAAAGCCGACTGGCTGCTGCTAATTCCATATCTGATGCAGCGTTATGTTTATGCATGATTATCTGGCTAATGTGATCTAGGTTGTAAACAGTCATGAGAAGAAGCCGCCGCCGAGTATTGGATCGGCCTTCGTCAGCCTCAAAAAGACAGTCATCCTGAGTGACAGTCTTCTCATTTCCAAATGTCACGAATGAAGCCAGTTGACATGATAATTATGTTGTAAAATGTGGGCATCAACGATGCACTCGCATTTTAGCATTGTAAAGGAATACAATGGAATTAGATCGTAGAAAAGATGATAAAATGATAAAAACCCTGTCCAAATATCTTTAAGATGTGAATTTCGGAAATATTTTCCTGCTGCATCTTCACACATAACTGATCATAAATGGTTTGCCGGGGGATCTGTTTGGTCCATTTGGTGTGTGGGTGACCCTTGTAATCTACAGGTATATCCTGTATACAGAAGCCTCTGCTTAAGCAACTAGCTTAATACATGTCCCAATTTGGCCAAAATTACATGTTTAGCTTGGCACGACATATGAGATAAGTGTGAAAAAGACTTTCAGATACACAAAAGCCCGACCTGCGGCCTCCGCAGCAGAATCCATGTCATCCAAACTGCTCAGACCGATAACTCTACAGCCATAGCAAGTAGATCATGGAGTAGTTCAAAAAGTATTAGATGACAGATCAACTTTAAAAAGAAGTAAACTAATAATGCAAGTATTTCAATGAGTATGCACGTTCATCTTGCATTATAAATGATGGGCTTGTGGTATTTTGGGAATTATTTCCACATATCCGTATCCGAGGGGTTTTGATGGACAGGGCTCTTCTCTATTGTTGCCATTTAAGTTTGGTAATGACTTATTCGTGTCATTAATGTTATAAATACTTTCCTCGCAAGACATATCATCCTATAAGATACTGTATATTAAGAGTGTATTACTACTGTATATGAATCTATCTATTCAGTATAGCATTAAATATAATGTTTTATACAACATAACCGCTACAATGATGCAAATCTCTTGATGGGTAGAAAGCTGTAGACTAATAGATTACCTAAACGACGTATAATGAACTAAATGGCAACAATTCTAATCGCTCAGAATAGAGATACCAACTTGTGAATTTGTAGATATTGTGAAATCAATTGCTATAGTTTTTGTAAATATTGATAAGTCACGTCATTTATTTTTGACATCCAATAGGTACCGCTGTCATTCATCGCGCTCTGTGACATCACGTCTTATGGTACTTTAAAAAAAAAAAAGACCCACAGTAGAGACGATATTCATCAAGCTACTTACGCCATCTGTACCTTGTGTGCAATTTTTAAACCCAACTGTGAATTAGCAGCTGTCTGCAAGCAGAGTTGTACACACTGTGCTCTTTCTCCAGCAATTTCACTGCATGTCTCTACGCGTTGAGAGATCAAAGACGTCCTCCACAAAGACAGCGGCGGACATCGTGGACTTTGTGTTTTTGTTGGGACGTCGCTCTCTATATGCTCAGTGACTGGACTCTGGATGTTGCCCTCTTGCTCGTTCATGTTCTTACTGTATGACATGTAGCACATGGAGGATTAAAAAGGAAGTTGTATTTTGTCTTTGAGTTTCAAAGACCCTTCTTGGTCTACATGGTGGACGCGCCCGATGCTTGTTTGGGAAATGTTTGGGTGCGATTCTTTTGTGTCATTGTCGGGAGTTGTTTTCTCTGCGGTGCTTACACTGTGATTTGTTGTTCGAGATGAAATAAAAGCAGTGCAGTCTGAGGATATCCCACCGGGAAGAAAGAAGGTGTCACTTACATAACAAATCAAACCAATTAAAATGTCTTTCTGGGACGTTTGGCATCGTGCAACGTATAATATCCAGAAGGACTGTAACATATTACACACAAAACTGTCAAACCACAAACAGGGCTAATTTTACATTTCAGTATTGGTGACACAAAAATACATTTTAGCAAATTGTGTTTTCCTATAAAAGCTGCTGGCGGGAACACAATAAAAAGACTGAATAGCGTGTGACAATGAAGTATGTTTTAAGGCTTAACTGGACGACTATGGTCAGAAGGTTCTGCAACACTCGATCCATTTAGAACTTGTGTATTTTTAAGCTCTATAAAGTAAAATGACCCACAAAAAAAAGAATATGGTTTGGTTTTAATATGTAGCGAGAATTAACAATACGAACATCTAAACCTGACACTCTGCGATGGATCAGTTAAAGAAATGATATAGTCCTAAAACATTAAATCTCCTGCTGTGTGTACAGAGCACTGAACTAAGCTGAAGGTTTTCAGTGTGTGATTGTTTTCAATAAATAAACGCTGCAGCTGTCGACAGACGTTGAAGGTCCCTGTTCCTGTCTGGCTCCTTTCTACTCCTCACTGCCCTGAAGGTGCCTTAAATTAAGTGCACAGGAATAGTATCGTGTTTAAAACTAAAAACACCTTTTCTCTCTGCAGGCCAGGAGCAGGAGCTCTCAAAAGACACCTTCACGGACACGGAAGGTCGTCTGTCAGACCTGGACATTAAAGAGGACTCAGATGCAGGAGGATGAACGTGTTTAGCTGTCTTTATTAGGATCTCCCACACTCAGTGACAAAATAAGCAGCTGTGAAAATTCTATATTATCTATAAAACGCATTAACAAAATCAGAAAGAAATTAGAAACAGAAAATCACTCTTCACAGAGGAGTACCTATAAACTCAAAATCAGTCCCTTTGGAGGAAAACCACAAATGCTATGAAAAACTCGAGACTAATCTATGAAAACTTACAAACAGAAAATCACTTATAAGAGGCAAAAAGAATCGGCTAAATGTTGTTAGAACAAGCAAGGCGAGAATTACTGTGGTGGCAGGTTTGGGTGAACGAAAGATCGAAACACTCGGGCACGAGACAAAGGGAGACGCAGACTAGAAGACACATGAGGGAAATGGGGAAACAGGTGGACACCATCAGGAATCAGGGAAGACAATTTGACTGGTGATGCATGAGGAAGAACAAGTGACCTGAAACGAGAGGAAGGTTAATCTTTCAAAATAAAACAGGAAATGACAAGACAAAACCCCAACTTGACCTGCGAAGGTCGTCTGCGTGCGATGTTGAATAAAACTATCCATTGCACATGGAGTGGCTTTTAATAACAACTCCGTGACCGGCGCTTTTCTGTTTGTGAACTTGCGCTGACCTCAAACGCACAAAAAGTAGACGACTTGTTTGAGGATTTGCACATTCATTTTTAATGAAAGCGAAGGCCGAACGCTACTCGGAGGATATCTCTATTTGTATAGCAGGAGAGAGAGTCTTATATATTAAATCTTTGAATTGTTGTTCCATTGCCAGCAGATTGGGTTTTACCAGAAACATACACATTACTTGTGAATAATGACAGTGGTATTGTCGCAATCTAATGAAAGTTTCAGCAAAATAGTTTGTGTAACTTAAAGCAACTGGGAGTGTTTAGTGCAAATGAGTTTAATTTGTACGAACTAAACAAACTCATGAGCTCAGCCTTTCGTGGTAAACCAATAAACATGCAATGCTAAACATGCAACCAAGTCGAATGTGCTTTTTTCTGTGACCTCAAGGATTTGTTCTCTGTGATGACAGGGTCATAAAAAAAAAAAGGACTTGGGCACCAGGACAGGAGGGAAGTTATCCGATCTCTACTGACTGCTTAAGGTGACGAGGGGAAATCTCTTCAGACATCAAGTAGAATTCTCCCTCACTTTCAACCTTTGTTAACCGTCATCCTATAAAGGGTCAAACTTTTTTTTTTTTCCCCACGGAGGTTTTATGTGAGGAGCTTCTGATAACTGTTCCCATCCCTCCGTCCAGAAATTGCAGTTCTTCACAGTGAATAAGGACAAAGAGCTTTCACGTGTCAGTTGGTGTGACCGAGTGTTTGGAGAAATACACGACAGCTTCCAGTTAATGAAAGACATTACTGAGAAAACTGCAGCCCAAAGACATCCACAGTAATAGTCTGGTCGACTGAAAGCCATTCGGGGGAGTCTTCAATCTCACAGACATGCAGTTCTGCGCGGGGGGAGGGGGTTGATGCCATTACACTGCAGACAGCCGGGGGGGCACTTGATGTAGTTCAAAAGTTCCAGGAACAATTTTCAAATTTAGGTTGGCCGAGTCGCGTTGGAACACATTTACATGAATGCAGACGGCCCAACGCTGAAGTTGTGCGTGCCGTACCCGAGAACGCACCAGTATCATCACAGCAGAAACCACAAAGGGACCATAAGAAACCCCCATGGCACCACAATCACATTAGGCCATCTGATCTGACCAGATTGTGTCAAATTCACCGAGTGAGGATGCCGACCGCCACGTGGCCGTCACCCAACAAATCACCTCCAAAAAACACTGCAGAGAATGAAACCACGATTTAAAATACCTAACCCAGCAATCCGGCTGACACGCGCCAACAGGCAAGATCTTTGCAGCAAATTATTTGGAAGGAAAGGATATTAAAGTGTGTGGCTTTGAATCAGACACTCTGCTTATAATGGGATGCAGTGCTATTAAGCAGCAGATGAACTCAAGTATGTGGAGACGGGTTGAAGACGGTGATAAGTGGAGCGGAGTGAAACCGCAGCATTAGGGGGGAAAAAAAGACAAATGTGTGTCGAGGGGAGTTTTCTACAAAGCCAATATTATGAGGGGAATGTTATGTGCATGAGACAACAGTCACATTTACATCCTGAAAGCCAAATGGCTCGCAACATTATCCTCTACAGTGTTCCCCAAAATAACAAGAGGCTTGGGGGGGGGACAATTCAGCTCAATTCAGCTCATTGTGCTTTTGACATTTGAGTCATGTTGGGGGTCAAACAAACAGCCTGTGGGAACTCACCATGTTATAAAACTACATGAAACCCTTATAATGCACCGGCCACATAAAACCAAAAGGAGAAAGCCTCAACTAGAGCTTCACTCACGTTGATTGAATCATTAAAGCCGATGCAAACGCTCCACGCAGACAGCAGGACTGTGGCAAAAAAAAGTGACGTCATCAGATGCCAGAAAAGCAACCACGAGCAGCTGTACGACGGGAAGAGCAAATGACCAGACACACCTGGCTGCAGCCTCAGCATTCTGCAGAGCACACGAGCCAGACGAGACTCCCCACAATGCAACATTCGCTGGGTCAAGCACTTAACCTACCTTGCTTGTGTAGCTGACGCAGTTGCACTCTGTGACTTGGTAAGTGTGAAGAGGACTGGAGGGGTGTCCCAATAAGCAGGGAGGGGAGTTGGTTTAAAGCGAGTAGGTGACAGATGCAGCATGATGAGGGGTGTGAGAAGTCCAGCCTGAACTTAAACCGTCACTCCTCCACAAATTTCTCCTCAAGACGTTTTTGGCTGCAGGTGAGCCGGATTACAAGCTGCAGCGTTAGCGGCACGAGTTACAATAGGCCTTCATCACACAAAAAGAGTGTTGCCCTTATTTACATTAAAGACGTATCTGTGTCCCAGTAATCCATTGCTAACGGAATATCACCATCACATTTTCACCTACTTTACAGAATTACTATATTCTTTTACACGTTTTATATTCCATCATATCATTGCATTAATTCAGTTAAAGACAGCAAGTTATGTATTTCTTTTTTCTGGAAGTACAGCTAATAACAATATTATTGTAGTTTAGAGTAGTTTTACTCGATGATTTTTTGAGTGCCAGAATATGAATGCCACAATTAAGACAAATTGTGCATAACATTGTCATGTTTGATTAAAAAGACAGATGAATGTAGCCAACTAGTCCAGCTTCATCATATTAGATATATAAAAGAGAAAAAATGTAAATGTATAAAAGTACTAATCTCTCTGGGAGGTCCAGCTCATAAATTGTCAAGTTTTAAAATTGGACTGACATTTGATGAGTCAATCATTCCTTCTATCCGTCAACTTCTTTCAACTTAAAAGCCTGACCTTTCCTCCACCTGATGTCACCGGCAACCGCATTATTATATTTAATCATAGCGAGCAATTGCACTGCCTCCCCATCTTGGAGCAGCTCCTCCGTGCCAACTCCAACTGTGACTACAGCCGGCTTCTTTCCGCTGCTCGGTTTCAAGGATTCAAGTGGATGTTTTTTCTAATAGTCCTGGCGATGTCATCTAACATTTGTACGGAATCATTTTCAGCAATTCGCACTCTATAGTTCCTGTGTTAGCACAATGCACAGCATGACTTGTATTGTTATTACAACATTATTCAGATGAAGTAACCTTTTTCTTATCTAAGAGGAAAATTGTCTTATAGTGTCCTCGGTAGTGCTTCCCTAACAATGGTCTGTATGAAGTAACACGTCAGACATGATGCCTGTTCTATTTGAAGGTAATTATTGCTTAGAAATAATACCATAAGAGAATGACCTAAAACTTTCAACAGAAAATGATCCTCCCAATTAAATTACAATGTACCATGTATTAACTGCAGTAAAATAATAATACAGGTATTATCATCAGGTCAGTGCAATAGAAGTGAAAGCCATTGTGATTTATTATGCCCTTTAACACTAAAAGACCGTCCACACATCCCGCAGATGTGAAACGTATTACCGGACCAACCAGCATTTGTTTACTTTGATTTTTTTCCCCTCCGGGGCGCCTTTAGGTCCCCTCTACTTTGACGACACCTTGTTCACTGAACCTTGGCTTGGCGTTTTTTCGCTGAACAAGATTCCCGCTGGCCCCAGGTGTTTGCTACTTTTCAGAGATTTGTTTAGGTGCTGGAGCGCTGCAGACAGGTACTCTGCCTGAAGGGCTTGTCGGGAGCTTTGTTGTTAATGAGGTGCTTGTTTTGTACACTAGTAGAAAATATTGCTTGAATTGTTCTGGATGATAATTCCAATTAATTAAGTTAATCAAAGTGCTTTATAGACTGCCAGCACAAACTATTTGTGTGAATTGCCCTGTAGTGGAATGGGAGAAGCTCAATACGTAATAAAGCCCAATTCTCCAAAAAGACTGAAAAATATAAGTTCGATTCATTTGGTGGCATTTTGTTGTTTTAGATGATCTTGTGGATGAATAGTAAACTAGAGGATGTGCATTTGCTAGTTTCCTACAGCCACCAATAGTTCTCACTGAAGAGTCTTTGAAGGCTCTAACCACCTGGTTTGTGTTATGAGTATTAAACCTGAATCAGTTCTGCCCTGTGACCACTGAATACAGCGATTTTTTAACTCTTCGAAGGCACCTCTTGTCCCCAATACCAACGGCGCTTGGTGGACGGCTACCAATGGTGGTTTCAATCAGCCGCTGGAGAGCAGTCCTGTTCTGGGCCGTGCACCTGCCAGTGTGTAATGTTTCCTGACAGATTTC